AAGGCTCATTTTGTTGCTAATTTTTCAAACTATTCACCATAAAATTGTTAACGAAAACTGTCGAAAAAAAATTCTACGCGACAACAACCTTAATTGAACAATTGGTTTTATAGATATTCAAATTTTAGTGTAAAATGATTATATAGCTCAGAATATCAGGGTCGAATTCTTTTTTTAAATTTGAAAATTTTAGTCTAATAGATGCTTAATTGCTACGACCATTTAACATTCATAATAGATCCAACCTGACGAGGAAAAATATATTGTTAAAATCATTCGGAAGCCCGCCATCAATTTATTGATGGCACAAAAATATACCTATACATTTCGCTAAATCCTCCACAATGACATAATTGTTGTCGCCTATTGCTTCGGAATGGAAGCATTGCAATCGTCCGATCCCGACCGGAAAAAAAAATCTAATTTTTTCTTAATGTTTTAGAATTTCTAATTTTGAGGTACCAGGAAGCAAATGAAAAAAAAAAAATGAAAAAGAAAAATCTATTCTTAAAGGCGACGATGGCCGAAGTGAAATCGTTCTGCCGGACGGAAACTGTCGAAAGACAGTCTAGACACTTAAAATCAACCGAAAGGGCTACAATCATTCTCCTATAAAGCTTGGTTGATGGACCACATGTCGACCAAAGTTCTCCACGTTTTCCATGTTTTCCATGTTTCTCTTGGTTACCAAGAGAGTCTACGTGGAATACAGCTCCCAGAGTACAATGCGACATGAGAGACTGGAGAGGATGTCAGCACATGACACCACAAAAATGTAAGAACCCCTACTAGGGTTAGTTAGCAAAAAGAAAAAAAAGAATATAAAAAAATACACGCAAATAGGGCATGTATATTTTTATCCAACAATATATTTTGAACAAATGAAGTCATGTAACTTTTTTTTGCCAATCGGCGCGTCTTAACGTAACTTCGAATTTATTAGGTTGTAGAATTACCCATTTAGCGGTTTTTTCACTATACACATAAAACTTAAGAAAATTTGTGAAAATACGTTATTTTCAATCGTATCCAACAGTTATACCGACAATCAATATCATACCAAGTCGATTCGGGGAATTCGATTATTTTTGCAAAACAAACCCCGTTTTTTACTTATTGAAATCGATTGGATAATAGAATTGGTATGCCATCAAAACTACGAATAAATGTATACACATCACCACATCATCTGTCGATCTACGCCTTTACCAAACTATGAAAATATTAATACGTAGAAAAAACTTGCAAAAATCATATCTCTGTTGTAGACCGTTTAAAAAATCTGAAAACACTGGAGATTTTCCTGTACCTCTGTCACGAACAAAAAATTGCGGTTAATTTTTGATGATGTCAGAGTCAACGACTGGTCGATTTGACGTGGAATACCTTATTTACAAAATTTTTACTCAACTTAATTAGTATATTATGCAACACGTGCGTAATATATTTTTTTATTCGTGGGAGGTTTGTAACACGAGCCGAAGGCGAGTTTTACAATCCCACGAGTCGAAAAATATATTACGCACGCGTTTCATACAAAATTTAAAATAATATCTTAAAATATATCATAATTAATATATATAATTATATCATAAAAGTATTATCAATCGATTAATCTCGCAATAACAATGGATGAATATCGATGGAGTTTATATTTGAAAAAAATTAGAGGAGAATAATTTGCAATTCCGTAAGAATTTAACTGTCATCACTTACAAAGGTACATCACTTCTTACCGTCATAAATCGGGTATGAACAAAAACCCTTCAAGGTGAGCTGGAGATGCGTGAATGGACCAAGTATGAATGGAAACTGACTTACGTGAATTCTTGAAGCTGGGCACAAGCATGAAATGAGCGAGCAGAAAATGGCGCCAATCCAAGTATTAATAAAATTAATGAAAGACATTGGCAAAATACAGGTAATGCGCATTATTCAGTTCTAGTTTTCTCTCGTCAGGACTTGAAATCTTTTGCCAGTTCGTGATCATGAGGAGAATCATTCATAAGTTAATAGAAATTAGTTTCATGTGGTCGCTGACAATGAATGGATAAATAATTTGGATATGGGGACGGAATCACATAAGTTAGACTTTTTTGTGAACGTTTGATGAACAATTTTTTATTGCGAGCTATAAACAATAATCTTTTTACAGTAAGCACTTAATAATTGAAAATAGTTATTGGAAAAAAGGACACAATAAGATCTAGACAGAGGACGACGTGGAGAAGCATTCATTGATCTACAGTGCAAATATTCCAGTAATCACATGAACTTTTGACGGTACTTCGTTGCCATTGTTGGTGAATACAGACATTTGCAAACACAGTTTGATTACGTATTTAAGTACTAAATACTGTGAAATTGCCCCCAATTAAAACTGGATTATTTCCCACGTAATAAAAATATGTCGTCAACGTATTGAAGGTGATTTTCATAAATAAGACTAGATGGACTACGACAGGCGATAATTGCTTTAAAAAAATTAGAAAAAGTATGACAATTTTCTCCGTAATCAATTTTGTAGTCTCACTCGTTGCAGTCATTGGAACTGATACGCGGCAAATGCAAAGTACAAATGGTTCACGTCTATATACAATGTCGCAGTAGTCTTAAATGTCGATGTTTTTAAGGCACACAATCGGTCTTTGGTAGTAAGAGAAGAAATATGAACAAGCTCCTGACTACCCTACTGGAAATTTTATTCGGCAAGCGGAATCCGACCCGTTTCGGTTTTTGGTAGGCATGCCGGGTGAAGTATTTTCTTAATTTCTCAACAAAATCTTACAGTTTAAGATATTATTCCAATAAACAGAATTATTCGTCTTCTTATTCTGGGATTCATTTAAGTTCAGTATGGCTAACCGAAGTCAGTCTGGATCAGGCCCGCCGTATGAAACTTAGAAAAAATTTTATTGAAAAAAAAATGTTACAATACGATGACAAAGGGGAGGCGAAGTTGGAGAGGAAGTGAGATAATAATTACAGTGGACTCTCGATAGTTGCAACACGTTAGGGGCTGTAGGGGTACCCGATTCGTGGAAAGTGGCAACTAACTCGGGCCCCCACTCCTGCGCGCCGCTCGGTCTCAATTCTGGGAAATTTAAAGGGACAAAAAGTATTTTCTTTTTCGGTGTCTGTGCCGGGGAAACAACGTGTGTGTGGTACACAAGCGCTCATGGCTCTTTCGTATTTTGGTTACGATATCGATCGGAGGCGGAGTAGGGGTATCGCTCGAGCGTCTGAAACGCGAATCAGGGGAAAGAGTGGCAACTATCGAGAGTGCAACTAACGAGAGTCTACTGTAGTAAGAAAACTATACTTAGCGACTAATTGTAGTCATTTCAATGGTATCTGCTCTTGTAATTACTACTAATATGTAAGCAAAACTGACATCAATTTCCAATAATGAGACGGTGGGCGAGTGGATAAGATACAGAACTACAAGCCGAGGGGTCCCGGGTTCAAAAGTACTGGCTTGAGCTTTTTTTTTGTATTGTCGAGCAGCCTGTTCAGGGATCACAATTTTGGTATTTCTTACTTATTTTCGCATAATTAATCGAATTACCATTAATAATGAATTAATTAATCAAATATCGTTCGGCGAACGTTCGGTCAGTATCGTCCGGCTCAAACGTGAAAATCGCGTTACGACCCTTATGCGGCCCAAATGTGGTCGACCGTACTCGCGCGCAACATTACTCTCGGCATGCCGCGGTTGGGCCAGTTGGTTTGCCAAATTAAATTTCTAATAGGGCATAACGTTCGCTCCGGCTCTCAAAAAGGTCAAAGATCAAAACATCACAAAATATCGGAACATTATAATCTCTCCCTCTCCCTCCCTCTTTTTCGCTCCTAATGATTCAATAACAATGCTTCATCATTTCTCAATATCATGTACAATACAATGTAAAGTTATGATCATTTCAACGCACCATGACTTACTTACACTCAAAGGTACCTTTCACAGAATCCCAAACTAAATAAAAACCTCAGATCATGAAATTATTTGCACAATGTCTAATGGACCACTATTGCAGAGACACCTGCCAACTGAATGTTCAATAAAAACATTCCATACGTGATACAGAGAGCAACAAGTGAACAGAACTTATGTGTTGTACATTGTCTGTGATTCATCTGCCAACTTAAATGCATTTTGTGAGTTTCCATGTAGACACACAATTTCTTCTCAAGTCTTTTCCACAAAATATTAATCTCTTTCCTTTTTCACCATGTCTTCCAGTTGATGAGTTCTTAAGTGAGGGGTAAAGATTGACACTCATCCATCAAATTACAGTCAATATTCGAAACGGGTGAAGCTGAATGCTCATCTCCTTCCCCGTCCAATTCCTCCTTTTCAGGATTTTGGGACATATCGCCGACATTTCCCGGTAAGTAATCCTTCCAACTTCGAAACAAATACCTAGTAAACTTTCTTAACTGGCGAAATTTGCAATAGGTAGCACCCTCGGCAGACTCTAACTGTTGCGTTTGGATGAGAAATCCCTTCTCTTTGAACGTTTGTTCCAGTTTCTCCCTCTGAAGAGACTTTCTGGTCTTGCGCTTCTTCTTGCCATCGTCAGGTGTAACAATCATTGGACAAGAAGGCGGCGGAATTCGTTCCCCAGTGGCACTAAGGAATGCCCCAGCAGATGAGCCAGACTGTCCGGGAGACTGCTGAAGAGATTCTCGGGGGAAAAACTCATATCCTCTCATACTTTTATCACCAGTCCCACTGTAGTACCGAAAGTTACCACCGGAGTCCACGGACAGACTCTTCTTTTCTTGCAGACTTGGCTTCGCACCTCCAGTGAATTTAAACTTACAAATGCTGACTTCGGTTGCTGGATTGTTGTTATTCTCCGTTGGCATCGGAGGAATAAAAATGGCGGAACGCTTGCGTTTGATGGGTTGCCCAGTTGGGTGGCCATGAGGAGCGATTCTCTTGGGTCTAGGAGATACAGACGATCGAGATATGACTGCTGGAGCTGAATTTCGGGCAGCTACTGAATTTTTACTATCTAACATTGCATAAATCGACTTGGGAACGATTTTTTGCTCCTTTGGCGGAAACTCTGGCTTGCCAGAGTTCCTATCACCATGCGTCATTTTCTGGTAGTAAAGGAATTGGGATTGAAGGGTCATCGGGTGGATGAATACTCCCGCATTAGGCCAGTATACAAAGCTCGAGTTAGGAGGGTCACTATTGCTCATTTGTTTTGTATTGTTATTAACTACACTGTGATTGTTGTTGTTCAGAGGGTCTAAGTCGGTAGAGTCTACTGGACTAGGGAATGGGGTTCCGAGGCACTCGATCTCTTCGCCATCACTAGAGGTGTCACTTTTTACAGTACCTGATTCGTAGATATTTCCGTGTTTCCGAAGGAGACGAATTTTAAGCTGGTTTAAGTCTTTTATACAGAGATTCAGGGGTTCATCCTGCTCCTGATGATCTTCTAAAAAATTCCTTCGAGATTCTTGGGTTAATCTTTTCTCTAAAAGACTGCTAATCCGATTCTGAATATCGGTCCGTTGGAAAGTGACGGGCTGCGTTACCTCTCGGTGGTTCTCTGATTTTTCCTTAAGGAGTTTTCGATCATCGTGACCTGGTGTACCCGGTAGAATTGTACCGTAGTTTTTGTAGATCAGGTGACAGATGTCCGCCTTCTTCGGCTTCCTGCCTCTCCGTGGTTTATTATTGTCCAGAGTTATCTCACCCATATAAGGCAAATCTGAATATTTCATAGGTGGTCTTGGTGTTGGTTGAGAGTGATGGTAATGGGAATTAGTGTTTGATGGGGAATTTATGACAGATTTTCGGGAATTTGTAGCTAGGGATGAATCTGGGTATGGGGTTGATGATGTGACACGAGGACACAGCTCTTGCTGCATCGCGGCAATTCGTTGGAGCCAACATTGGACATCTGCGACTGGGCTGAGAGTTGGTGTTGAGCTGGATGTTGTTGGCAATGGACTCGAGGCGGAAGGCTCAAAGACATAGAGAGGGGATGTATTTAAGGCTTCTTGGGCTAATGCAGCTTCATAGTGATCTAAGTATTCGGGAGGCAGCGCCTGATGGTGGAACTTCAATTTCCACCGAGACTTTCTTCGATTTCGACTAAAACAAAAAACGAAAGCAAATAATTTTACATAAAATCAACAAAGCTATTTGACTACTGCAAACATTTATTGGCTCGAGTTTGATGAACTGTAGAGTTTGGACATCGTAGATTTTTTTCAATTTTAATAGGCAGGTCCATTACAGTCTAAATTTCTTGAAATTGAATTTACCAATAAAAACATTAGCTCGACACCTTTCGCCCATAAATAGTAGGTAGATCGGCTACCTTTTATCGATCGGCTTTATCGTGAATCAACTCGTGAGTCGATAGAATCTCAACGAGTCCGTGGGGCCCCTCACTCATTGATTTTATCTCTCCTTCTCTTTCACTTTTTCTTCTTTTGTTTTCACTTCGTTTGTATCGAATTCGATGCAGTTTCTTCAGGGCTGTTCCGAACCTGTTTTCGCATTCTCTGTTATGTCCACCTCATTCATGTCGATTCCAATTGAATGTACATTTTAACTTTGGCGTGCAAGTGGAAAGGAAATCAGTAAAATGGATGAATGGGCATGAGGGAATGAAATTTCTCCTGAATTTAGCGATCATTTTCAATTTAAAAACGAGACTTATTAATTACCTTGGTCTCGGCCTGATGGTGGCTTCCTCATTATCTTCCACGACTTTTTCTGTTGACTGGAGTGGCTGCTGTATACTGGCCGTGTCGTGACTATGGTGTATGTGATGGGCAACTTCGGATGGTATAGATGCTCCACTCATTTCCGTTTGCTGACTATTGAGTGCCTCATTAGAATTAGATCTGAGTGATTCAGAGACGAGGAAAGACATTCAATAATATTTTATATTCTTGTCGTTTACTTTTAGTTTTACAGATGCAAAAAATGAGTGAGTTCAAGGCAAAACAAATATCTACACAGAAAACATGCAGGCGATAGCGGTTATGCGACTGTAGATACGTTATTGAAATGTATGGGTATATTTTCTTTGCTATTACTAAATTCACGCCGAGCTTCCGAACGGTTTTTACCATATATTTGCTTCTATTTATTAATATTTATTGAGAATGTTGAATGTTATATCATTTATTAAGGATGTATTGAGACTGAAATTTTCAGATACAAGAAAACGAATTCGATTCACTCAATTCTGAGATATTCCACATAATCATTGTACACTAAAAATCCAATATCTACGAAACTATTATTTTAATTACGCTCATATTCAGCGCCATCGGTTATAGTAACAAAAGAATTATTTTTTTGAAATTAGAAGTCAATATTTTTATATTTACGCGGCTGAGAGAAAAACCGTCTTGAATAAAAAAATAATAATATCTTGAAAACTTTGTATTGACCAGTATATATGTTTTCATTGATACGGATAGAAAACATTCGACGAAAATTTTCAGATAAAAAAAAGCAAATTCGGCACGGCCAATTTTGAGATATTGTACATAATGGTTTCACGCAAAAAATTGAATATTTCCGAAACTAATCGATCAATTAAGCTCATGTTCAACACCATCTATTGTAGTTATAACACGGAGATCTCGTCCGAAGTTTAAGTTACTAACTCGATTTTTGCACGGGTGCGATGGTGAACAACTCCATGCTTTTATTTTTAAACAGAAAAGTAACAACTATGATTTCTTTCAGCGTTCACTTTCCAATTTTTGATTAATTCCAATAAATGGATTCATAACGAAAAAGATGGAGGAAAGAAACGAGAGATATTTCCAAGAAACAATTTATAAGAAATCACGATTCCTCAAACACAGCCTGACCGGCCGGGCGGGATCTATGTACAGGATTAGCCTCAACTCTTACCGACTTTGTTGGAATTTTTCTACCCACCTATATCTCTTCCTAACTAACAAATCACCCGTTGTTCGGAGGGTACACGTATAGACATTTCCAAAAAAATGTGTACACTTGGGACAATTCTACATCGTTTCAAAGCAAAATTTGATTTTTTTTTTTGGTTGGGATTGGACGATTTCATTGCTTCCATTCAAGAGCAAAAAAGCATTAGTTGAAGGCCTACATTCTTGATTGAAAGTTTCAACGGACGTGTTCTCATTAGCAACCAACTTGATACTTGAATCAGTCTTGTGACAAAATTACCAATGCATAGTACTAAACATTCATTTGGTTTTCGAAACATTCAATCGCAATCGATTATACAGTTCAATCAACTTTGCGTAGCTGAATCAAGAAGATACATTGAATTACGCTATGGTAACATAATACTACAAAAACTATATGCAAGTGTGAGTATTCAAGTGTGGGTATACTGTTATCTGGGACGCCATTGGCTTTAGTCATTTTGAACTTGAATCAAGGAACAGATGATTAAGTGATTTTTTTGAAAGTCAGGTGAGCGAACCGTGTTAATTCCTTGCTCTTACCGGTAAAGGTAGGATTATTGGGAATTTACCTGTGACTATTAGCTTCGCTCGCTCTTTCATCGTCATCCTGAGGTTCTTGTTTTACCGCCATGTGGACGTGTGGTAGAAATGAACAAGTTAAGTGATGAGATAGATGCAGAGGATCTGGATAATTCAATGTCTCCGTCAGAGAGTCGTCTATGCCAATCGACTGTGCACGAGGCACGACTTCCTCAGTCTGCATAATGCCCCCTGAAATCAATCAATCAAAGGTATGCAATTCCCATGCGTTACAATCAATCTCTTTCATCAAATTAGAAATATGGAAAGATTTGACGGAAAGCACGTTCACGAATCCTATCATATGCTATGTATTCATGCCTGGTAAGGGGGACTATAATTTAGTAAACATTACTGTCATATAGTAATGATTACTATATGTAGTAGTAAGGGTTACCATAGAGCATGCCCGGAACGATTTATTTAGTCAATTTTACGAGTTATGAATCGTAAAATTGCATGGGTAGAATTAGAACGGTGGACCATAATGAAGGATTTGGCCATTTTACTATTGTCAATCGTAATTTGAAAATAAAAAGAATAGCTCCAAATCAATTCTTTTTTTTTTTATTGCATTGATGAAGAAAATTTCCAATTATGTTGGAGGAAAAATGAAGTCAATTCCAGAGAATTGTGCCATCATAGAATATTAAAAATGCAAATTCCGTTCCAAAGAAACCTAAAAATGTCAGAAAAATATGCGAGCATTCGCCGCGTTAAAGACCAATTTCACATCGTGAAAATAATAAGTCGATAATGAAGGGAAACAATGAAACAAAAAACGCGACATGGAGCTTTCTGTTTATTTCCTTATACCCGATTTGTAAACATCACTCGCTGCTTTGATATTTTGCGAGTTCACATCGTAAAAATGAAAATTTCGCATTTAAAAATCCAGCGCTGCAGCAGTTAATATCTTGGCTGTAAATATTTTTTCTCTCGTTTTCCGTAAAAAACAAAAATTGTCAATAAATGATGAATTCTGGTTAATTGAAAATTTAAGTTATTCTTTTCCTGAATAACCGATAAAAACATGGACTTACTTTACTTTATTACTGCAACGTAATGAAATGAACATAGTTTTCAATTTATTTCCGCTATCGGAAAAAAGAAATCAAATTTGAACCCTAAAATTTGAGAAAGTAATTATTATTATATTCTTTCCTACTCCATTGACAAATTATTCAGATCCTAAAAACATTTTTTAAAAATATGTACATCAAAATTTTCTTTCTCTTTTTTTTACGATTCCCATTCGTGATGTTTGGATAGAGAAATGTATTTAAAAAAAATCAAAGTCCCAATTTCCAAAAAAAATTAACGTATATTTCCCGGAATTCGCGATTTCGTCCGCGGGTACGATTTTCACATCGTAATTTTTCTTATTAAAATCTTCCGGGGTGATGAGACTCTCGATGTTAGTGTGCTCGATAGATATAGTAAAAAACACCATTCCGCATAGTAGCGTTGACTATGGTATATAGTAAAGGCTTGTAAATGCCTTGTTGTTGGCTGGTAAAGTTTACCGTAGGTGCATGGGAAAAATGCTCTACAACATAATAATATGGCCCATACGATATAGTAAATGATAAAACATATTTGAAAAAAAAAAAAAAATAATAGAACGACACGGAGATAAGAAATAATTGTTTCTCACCATACAAAAGAATGTTTTAAATGCAAATTGTGTATTTTGCATTTATTCTATTGTAGTATTATTTACATTTATTCTCTGACCTCACTTTGTCAAATTCTGTCAGTAAAAACGTCTATCAGGCCGAATTCGTGATCTATTATTAAACCTTTGTGGACTTTTTAGATATAACATTCGGTATTTTTTCTTTCACATTTCCATAAAAATTGTAGAAAGACTATACTGGGATAAAAATTGTTAATGTATTTAGGTAACTGGAGACTGTAAGCGCCTAACATCTGTCTGCCTGCACCTCCCGGAATCAATCTAGCATTTCGGTAAGTCTTTAGTAAGACAACCATATCTACTTCAGTTTCTGCTACGGCAGAAACACATTGGCTACACAGGATGCAGTTTGTTATTACGCGATGGGGAGTCTTCTGGTCAGATTTTTCAATTATATTCAGTTTTGGAGAAAATTTTCATTAAAATTTTTCAATTATATCCACTCAAAATTTGTATGGATCAAACAATACTCATTTCAATAGTGGAATTATGAGGAATCTGGTGCAAGTGACAGGGACATTTATAGTAAAGTAGGCTTAAATGGCTGAAATGGGCGAACGATGTTATGAATCACACCAATATAAACTTATATCATCTATTTGCCTGTCTTGTGTCTCGTCTTATCGTATTTCACATCCTGATCCAATTCATTCACCTATTCCATTGTACCCGACTATTTGCTTCCCCAATTAAACCCGCCATCTTGTTTTACGCCACTTTAAAATTAACTACTATTTTATGTACCTATCGAACTTTATGTACTAATTGCATTCGCCCTCTTCTATCCCATTATCCAATCCAGCCGTCTTCACATTCATTTTATAAAAACATTTTAACCATTTTAACATTTTAACATTTGAACAATTTAACATTTTAATTGTGACGAAAAAAAAAATTCTTCCCTTCATATTCTTCCTCTCCCATGAATTGTGTATTTCGGCCCAAAAAAATGTTACTGTTAACAGAATCAATTTCCGGCCCTTCAGCAGTCAACTCATTCAAATACTCAGCAAACACTTATTCGGTTGTAATTACTACGTTTTTACCTGGTAACTCACACGTAGACCAATGCATATTAGACGTCTATCTGAACATAAGCAGGTTGCAAAATGAAAAACGAACAGACTATGGACTATGACAGTGGCCACAGAACGATATGTTTTTAATCGAATCCATACGAAAATGCAAAGGTACTATTTAACGACCTGTAGCTATCTAGATTAGAAACCACTGAACCACAAGAGTCACAGACTAGAATAATCATCAAAAGTATCTTAACGAATAGTACAGAATGCAAGTCCGAGTAGAGAGAAACGTACCAAGAGATGAGATTATCAGCATCCTCGGAATAATGAACGCAGCCATCATAAATGAAATCAACCATTCAGTATCTAGGACTACGTTGACAAGTAGTCTCACACGGCCCATCAATAGCAGAATGTAATTCCGGTGAGAAGGCACCTCATACCTTGTCAATGCTCTAAACACTTGCCATAAGAATGACCCCGGTGATGACAAGATGCTAAACGGAGGAAACCAAAAAACTTCTGGACTTTGTTAAAAAAAAACTGATGAAAACATTCACCAAGTCTATATAAAAACATTGAAAAACGCAATAAACACAATCAATTTCAAAAATTCGGCAAAATTCATGCCCACAGTGGACTAGATTTCCGGTCCGAGCAAAGAAAACTTTGAAGACATACATATTGTCGAAGATAACAAATGCATCCTGACAAGAAGGGGCTGTGACGCAAGAACATCGCCGACCATTAATAATAAGAATAATGTTATCACCGAACCACTGGAGAAAATGAAGGTAATCAGCGTATAATAGAAAAGATCAGCTTACCGCGTCCCCTCATTAATGAAACGCCTCGAGGAACTTATGAATATGAAAGCGGCCCAGTTTACGACACAATATCAATGTGAAAAGCTGAAAAATATCACCATTAGCAACTTCACCACCACGCGTAGAACACATAATCCATTCTGTGACAACTATGAACTATAAGACAACTTCACAAACCCGGAGCAAGCGGAAAATCTAATCAAGGGAGTGCTCAATAAAACTTTTAACAGCATTAGCAACATTTCCAACGTAGTATTGAAACGTCTGTCTCCTCAAATCCTACAAAACTATACTACTCTGTTCAACAACACACAACATAACCTACTTCCCTAAAATCTGCATACTCAAAACTGGTTAACCAAGAAACCATTCAGCTATAGATCAATTATCTCACTGCCACTCCAACCATCAGCCAAGTCTGTGAAGCAATAATCAAAAAATCAATAATTACGTTTTACAATAAAGAAGAGTATATTTCCGGGCTGGTGGGGTGGGGTTTGTTACCCGCGTGAAGTTGGCATTCGAGCCGAAGATGGGATTTTCAAGTTTTCCAGTTTAGGAAGTATGTATTGCCAATTCTCACACGTGTGACAAGTAGTACGGAAAAGGTACCCATGCAATAAACAAATTCGGATGAGATGCTAATACTCACTTACTTCATAATCAACTAGGTAAAGCATATCTCAGAGGCCTGGGGAAATCATTCGATTCTGTATGGCTGGAAGGACTTAATTTTGTCCTCATGAAAATTCAATTTCACAGGAATTTCTCATGAAATAAAAGGGATTATCTTCCCTTGTGTTCCATGTCCAAGAAGGTTCCCTCTATTTCTTTTTCATATACAGTCGGTCACTTAAGTTCGTGACCAAACTGAAGTTGCAACCTGTGTATTTTATACGGGTTGCAGCTTCCGTTTGTTCACGAACTTGAGTGACCGACTGTACAGAGCCAACATCTTCAACGAATTTAACATAAATAGGGAAGGCAAATCGGAGACAATTACCTATGTCGGTTATTCGACATTGTGAAAAATTACGACAAAATTATGCTCGAAGCACATAATAGAAATTCTAATAAATAAAATTAAAAGTTATTACTCTACATGAAATTTTCGCATAAGCGCAGATCGAAAGGTGAGTCCATATTCATCCGTGGACCACACCGAGCTGTTCAGCGAAACTAGTAAGAAAAACAACAACACTGTCTCCATCAAAACTTTGAATCTAGATACAGAAGAAGCACTAGTTACCTCCGATGGGAAAATTGCGAGAAGACCTAGGTCTTCATTTTGGACATTTACTATGATGCTCCCTTCACATCAACATGCAAGTTGACAAAACAAAAAGTCGTTTCAAATCCTTGATACACTTCTTCCACAACTCCGATATTGCTAAAAGGCTCAGTGTACTGTGTTACCGGCTCCTAATTCGTCCTATCCTTACTTAAGCAGCCCCAATATGGTGAAATCTTAGTGCACACCAAATGGTGCAAATGAGAAGTTCAAAAGGTCCTGTCGGGAAGCATCCCTATGTATATATATAGATTTTATCTTAAAGCTTACAGTACATGAGATACGTAAGCAATGCATACTAGTGCTAAGCAAGATGATGGAAAGAAGACAATAACGAGAAAAAATCGTTG